GATAAGTCATGTTTTTACATTATTTTCTAGTACGCTACTGTCCTATCTGTATTAATACTATAATTTACGCCTACTGAAAGCTTATTTGTGTATCGGTTCCAAGTGACTTACCCAAATAGGTCATAAATGGGCAAGTACCTGCGCGACCGCTCGCCAGCTTCCTTCGTCAGACCTGTACAAATATGTAGAAAAGGGTACAAACGTTCGAAACTAAAAATAAATAAATCTACAACTGTAAATAAATCTAATAATTACACTCGTCAGAAGCACATTGTAAGCTTTTACAAAAAAAAACGCTTCAGTATTACTTTTTTAAATTTCGCTGCACAAAATACGAAGTCATTCACCATCCACGGTAGGGATGAATTTTAAAATCGACAATTTTATTATCTCGCATTCTACAACTTGCTGCAGTTTCAAAAGCCATTTTTTCTGTAATTGATTTTTCACTCACCTAGTGTGGAATCAGTCGTTCATAGCTGAGAGCTTTTTCGAACGGTCATTTCAAACGTGTTGTCTCTTTGTTTCAGCCCGAAAGTTGCATCAATAAATACCAAGATCCCCATGCATACTGCGTGGTATATTCCAGCGCGGACAGGTCAAGTCTCGTGTGTGCCGAACGAATACTTCAGACACTTTGGATGATGGACAATATTAGTACGAAGGCTGTTATTTTAGTCGCAAACAAGGCTGACCTTGTCCGGTCAAGGGTTGTATCAACAGAAGGTAAGCCACACAAAGTATTTGTAATTAGTGTTTGTTTGATTTATTTTGTTTGATTTCATTGAGATCCCTAGACAAAAATTTCCAGTCTCTCTCAGTCTTTCAGACTCTTTCAGCGTCTTTGAGAGTGTCTCTCACAGTCTTTCAGTTATTGTCTAGGTGTTTTTATGGATCTCTCAGTCTCTGTATGAGAGACTCGAACGATAAAATTGTTAATTCAGAGATTCGAGTCTCTCACAGAGAGACTGAATGAATAAAACTGAAAAATTCAGAGACTCGAGTCTCTCGTAGAAAGACTGGGATCTCTGAAATATGTTGAACTTGACATTCTTGAAATTTTGACCATGTCTATCGACATACCACTTTTCGAGAGATTCGAGTGTCTCGTTCAGAGACTGGATACGAAATGAGGATCTCTCTATGAGCAACTCGAGTCTGTCGTTCAGAGACGCTAAACATTTTTTTTGACAGTCTCTTTCAGCGACACCAGAGAGACTCGATAAGAGACGGACACTCGAGTCCCGCTTTCAGAGACTCTGAGAGACTGAACATTTTTATCTCGGGATATACATGACGAATGGAGAACACTTGGTATTAAAGTTTTTCGAATGTTTTATTTTTACGTTAACTCGAGTACAACACTGTTACTCTTGAAAATGGCTTCATCGTTGAAACAATTGTCGGTTTTGAATGAAAATTTTATGAAACTTTAATACCAAGTGTTTTCTTTTCGTCAACCTTATCAAATATACCAATATATTGTACCAAGTGCAAGCGATTCAAGTATCGGGATAAATTATCCTAAAAGCTTTCTAGAAATTCCTAATACCGAATTATTAGGAAGAATCATTTAATACGATAGTAAAAGATGATATAAGTAAATAAAAGTGGAAAATATATGCAAAAAGTATATAAATTATATGGAAATACGCCAGATTATATTATTAGAAGGGAAATACAAATGTGGGAAGTTGGTAGAGGTAGTTAGAAAATGAGTAGTTAAATATGAGAAAAAGTTAGAAAATCTAAAAAATGGTGAAAACCATACATGCGTATCTGTATCTCTTTACGTTTGCCTGGAACGACTTCCGGATGTAACGACGAAATTACTGTGGTCCCTTCCTAGTCGTTATACCCGAAATCCACTGTTTATTACAAATAAGTACAAAAAATAGGCATTGAGGGAATTGAAATTACATCAAGATCAGTTAAATGAGTAGGGTAGGATGGTTCTGAATGTAGGTGAGATGCTAAGGGTTACGTGTAGCTAAATGATAAAAGGTGACGATCTGAAAAATATTGATAAATCAGGGTACGTAGAATGCGTAAACGCTTCGATGTGGGAGTATTGACAGGGAGATTTTGTGACAGGATATTTGAAAGGAAAAAAAGAGATGGATGTGATTGCAAGGTTTAGAATCGGAAATGAATGTAGGGGATGTAAGATAATGAAAGGTTATGTAGAATATGGGGAGTGACAGAGGAAACTTTGTTGTATGTCTTGGGAAGTTGTGATGAAAGTAAGTATTGGGATGAATGTAGTAACATGATAAGCGAGAGAATGGGTGAAGGGTAGAGAAGGAGGGATGTTTTTTATGCTTTTGGATTGTTAAAAAGGAAACATGTTAGTATTAAAGTTTTTTGTTTTGTAGTTTATGTCTTATATGAAAAGGGCTTGGTTATAGTTAAAATAAAATGTTTTTCGCTATATTCGTAATACCTATCTAGAACATTTGCATGTGCTTTTATTTGTTTAAGTTTTCATACAGAAAGGGCACATCTACGTCGAATTCATAATCATGTTCCGCGCACGTACATATATTATCGTATTTTTGAGCAGTGCGACCCAGTTATAGGTAACGACCTTTTGAAAGAATAATAGCTTTTGAGTGGAGCCTTTTATTGAGTTTTGCAGCTGAGCCATTAAAATCATCAATAACATGGAATATAGGCCTGTCGCGCATTGTTTTAACGCGACTTTTGTCTGATAACAACGGCTATATACATGACATAAGTATCTATGTGATAATAAATGCGTAGAAAATATTTCTGCTTCAAAATGAATCCTTCAAATTTTATTATCGTCAAACGAAACGTATCGTTTGGTAGTGTAGGCAAGAATGTTCTGAACTAATTGATGGTAGGATTTCCTATGTCACCAATAAAGTGATTATGTGTCAGAAGAAATGAGATCAAAGCGGGTATCAAGTTATTAACTAAAAGTGATAAAACTAATGTCAGATTTCATTGCGTTACTTTATATTATTAGTAACTAAGTTTTACCGGGGTTTCGCTTGCGTTGATGTTCCAAGTACGTGTCAAAAATTATCATAACATAAAACTAATTATTTATATTCTTCGGGAATACTATTATTTTTGTGGATAAAAGGTACCCTATTTCGTTTTCTTTACCCCAGAAAATTTGGGTACAAAATTTCACGATGGTTTTACCCGCTGCTTCGTTTTCGTTGATGTCCCAAATGCGTGTCAGAAATCATCGACGACCACATAAAACTAATTATTTCTATCCTCGGGAACACTATTACTTTTCTGGATAAAAGGTACCCTATATCCTTTTTTGTACCCTTAAAAATGTTTGTACAAAATTTCATGATGGTTTTATCCTCGGCTTCGCTTGCGTTTATGTCCTAAATGCGTGTCAGAAACCACATAATTTATTAATATCCTTCGGGAACACTATTATTATTCTGGATTAAAGGTACCCTATTTCGTTTTCTGTACCCCAGAAAATTTGGGTACAAAATTTCATGATGGTTTTACCCGCTGCTTCGCTTTCGTTGATGTCCTAAATATGTGTCAAGAATAATCGACGACCACATAAAACTTATTATTTCCATCCTTCGGGAGCAGTATTTTTTCTGGATAAATAGTACCCTATTTCGTTTTCTGTACGCCAGAAAATTTGTGTAGAAAATTTCATGATGGTTTTACCCGCTGCATCGCTTGGGTTGATTTCCTAAATATGTGTCAAGAATAATTGACGACCACATAAAACTAATTATTTCTATTCTTGGGAAACAGTATTTTTTTCTGGATAACAAGTACCCTATCTCTTTTTCTGAATTCCTGATAATGTGTGTACAAAATTTTATGACGTTTTTACACGCGGCTTCGCTTGCGTTAATGTCATAAATGCGTGTCAAAAATCATGGATCACATAAAACTAATTATTTACATCCTTTGGGAATACTTTTATTTTTCTGGATAAAAGGTACCCTATATCCTTTTTTGTACCCTTAAAAATGTACAAAATTTCATGATGGTTTTACCCGCGTCTTTGTTCGCGTTGATATCCTAAATGAGTAGGTGTCAAAGATCATCGACGAGAGCACATAAAATCAATTGTTCTATCCCTCTGGAACAGTATATATTTTTTCTCGAAAAAAAGTACCATATGTCCTTTTCTGTGCCTCTGGCAATGTGTATACAAAATTTCATGATGATCGAATGAGTAGTCAAGGCGTAAAATAGTAGCAAACAAACAAACTAACTCATTGGCATTTATAATATCAGTGAGGTTTTTATTTTCGGATTGAGCTTTCGTAATTTCCGTAGGTACGTTATAAATTGATTAATATCAAGCATCTCACAAAAATTTTTGTAATGTCTGTAAATTATTAAATATCCTAGATTCTTTAGAAATTTACTGTGTTATTTTTCATTCGGAATTTAGTCCCACAAAGTCCAGAAACAAAATAATATAAATTTTTGTGGTGTATTTTATTGCTGTTGTGCTAAATCGTGTGATTTTTGGTTGAATAAATTGTTGTTTAGATTCGCATTTGATTTTATGATTACATTGATATATTATAAAATGACTGATTAAAAACTTTAAATATTTATTGTCAATGGGCCACTTTTAAGGGTAATAATTGTACAAAATCGCTAAGGATAGAGACATAACGAAAGTGATCGAAATGTTTGTAACAAAAAATCTTAAAACAATTTGAATTATTGTAATTACTAACATTTTATATTATTGTTTATTAATTAATTTGGAAAATGCGGCAGAATTTTACGTTGAAAGGGAGGGAAGTGTCACGAAAAAGTCTTGCAACAAAATAAATGTTTTCTTAAATCTCTTGACGAAACTTATTTCAAAACATCTTAATCTAAGCCCAAAGGAAACGGCTTAACGTCAAGATTTGTGTCAGAGATTGGAATAATAGATGATAATTTATGGAAATCCAAAATCGATGTGGGAAGTTACGTCCTGATACATTTTTAAATTTTGGGTCTTTCACTATAAATTATGTGTGAATAATAAATAAAATGTCGGAAAACTAAAAAAAAAATTTTGGTATATGATTATTTGGACAATCGATCCATATAAACCTAAATTAAAAAGTCTTTGTTTCAATTTTTTTTTAATGTAGGACCTGTGCAGTTGTTTCAGGGGATGATGAAACCAATGATTGGCGAAAAAATTGTAGTGGCTTTACGTTAACAAATATATGAAACAAAAAGTTTTTAATAACACTCAATATTAAATAGAATTATATAAATTGTAATTTAAGAAAGGGAACTAATATGGTCACCGTAAAATAAATTGCTTTGTAGCAACAATGTGCCACAATTTGATACAGTAATGTTAGTCGTCTAGTTTAGAAATTACATTTTGCAATAAAATTATCTGCAAAGTTACGTTCCCCTTGCGACTACTCTCGTCTGGGCGAATTACCTGGGAACGACTTCTACAATTTAACAGCTCAAATTAACTACATGATGGTAACAACAGCAATCAAAAATTTACAGCGTACATAAAAAAATTAATGTACGTTTAGTACAACATTTCCAGTGTGTTTTAAAAAATGTTACTTTTATTGCTTTCGCTGGTTTGGTTGCTTATAAATTTGTTAAACAACTTCAAAGTAATGTATATTAATCTGAATTCAGAAGAAATATAAGACTGTAGCACTTAACATTTTTTTCGATATTTTTTGCTTCTTTCAAGTACCCTTGTACTGTTTCATTTTGCTGAAAGGTCAATTTGTGCGTTGGACGAAAGGTTAATTTATGCATTGGAGTATATTCTTGAGTTTTCATAACTCTCACAAAACTATCGACACTATATCTTTTAAAGTCATGCAAACTCGCACGTATGACAGAACATTTTTGCAGTTAAGACAATTGTTGTGTCAGTAAATAGAAAAATTTCTACTTAAAAGAATTATTTAAAAAAACGGAAGTATTAGATTAATACTAGAAGTATTTGAGCAAGACCAAGACCGAATAAGCAAGTACAAGATCAATACCAAGACTGGGACGGTCTTGATTAGGGTTGCCACCTTTTCAGGCTTTACATAAAGTATTTGTCGATTAAAAGGTTTAAAAAAAAAGTACTCAGCATAAAAATAAAGTATTTTATTTTTTGTTTTTAAAAACAAATTTTTTGTTACACCTAGCAGCCAATAACAAATTGCTGTCGCTCTTAAATACATTAATAGCCTCTAAACATGACAAACAAAGATTTAAGTAATCTGAAAGTTCATTTTTAATTAGTTTTTCTGTAAATGCTGAAGTGGCCGGAACGAACAGCAAAAGTGACACTACCTTGAACAGATTTGGTAAATTCTGTGCAATATTATTGATTTAAAAATACTCTGAATTTCGAATAATCGCTTACAAAATTACAATGTTTACTTAAGGCCATAAATAAAGTATTTTTGTGTACTTTATGTGTCTTGTAAAGTATAACGTATGCACAGTCGAAATAGAGTGCAATACTTTATAATAAAGTACGGGTAGCAACCCTAGTCTTGATTCTGCTTTGCTTATCACTATTTTTAATGTCCAATATTATTTTAAGTTTTAGCAGTTCGTTTTATACCTATCTCAAAAATTACCTATTGGATTTAGAACAGTGACTGTTTAATGAGGATTATTCTTATATTTTGTTTCCAAACATTTTATCACACATGCCACACAATTTCTGAAAAAATGAATTCCTTGTAGGATGATACATCGTATGTATCTTTAGACTTGTAAATTTAGCAAAGTTAGAAGCATTTATACGGATGAAGCAAACTTTTCTCCGATATATTAGACAACATCAATACTAAATGGGACACATTTTAATTTATGAATTAATAATTCGTATATCAGACCAGTTACTTTTTATCGTAATTCCAGCATTTGTCAAGTTAGAATTAGCTTTTATAAGAGAAGTTTGTTATTGTTATAGTAACATTAAAATTAGTAAAAGACGATGTACTTGAAATTTTCTTAAAAGATCGGGTGAGACTCCCAATCAATTAAGCAATTAACCCAGAAAGGAGTTGTTTGCGTTCATTGTTGCACTCAGATGTCTGATATCATTGATTTTTCCTTTACGTCTATCGCTAAAAGCTTAATTGATATGGAATTCGTATTGGCCACTTTGTTAATTGAATTTCAAAGTAGTAAGGGACTTCGAAGTATTTCCTTTCATTAAAACGACATTTAACTAACTTAATAAATTATCCGCATATTTTAAAGATGTCACTGTCACTATTGCTTAAAACTTTTAATTGAACTTGGAGTAAAAGAAATATGAAACATCTTAAAAAAGAATAATAACACAGGTCTACGATAAAAAAGTTTTTTGTATAAATTTATCTTAAGCATGCAAATGTTGGTCTATATTTTGCAAATATAAACTTTGTTTTAACGTATCACGTCACACATTTTTTTTGTGTGTAGATTGATATATGTATATATATATATATAGCTTTGGTGGACTATCTTTAATAAATGCTTCATATTGGTTCCCGAGAACGGTAAAAATCATTGTATCACACCCTGTAAA